GTAGGCGGGGGGGGGGCGTGGCTGCGGTGCCATTGACTTTAATGCACCGCCACGTCCCCTCCCACCCCTGAACGCAGGGAGCCGGCCAGCTTGCGTTCCAGAGGCCGAACGCTCTGGAACGCAGTCTTTGTGGTTTGAACCGGCCCTGAGAGTTTAAAATGTGTGTAAATAACAAGATGAACTGTCCAGAGTTACAAATCCTTTGGCTGGTAAAGCAGGAAACATATATGTAGCTTGACTGTTTCAAAAGCCGACTTTTATACACAGCAATAATGCATAGTAAGCCTGTAGTTATCTGGGTGCTCAAGAGCAAACACATGAAACAAAATATAGTATATGGCATTGTAATGTAATTCAGATTCATTGTAAGCATGGTCTGTGCTAGCTTTGGAAAATCACAGAATTAACACCATACCTTAATGTGTAACTGGAGTGGAATTAGAAAACTTTAAAGGCACATATTGCATGAATTGTATTACCTTTATTTACATCTGTCAATTATTTTGACAAAATGTATGACTCTCGATCTAATTCTAGATCTGAAATGAATACATTTTATACTGAATTGCTGTTTGTATAGACAAAGTAGGAGGTGTTTTGAATGAGCCATTGTGAATTAAGCTCCTTCTGTTCCTATTTAACAATCCTTGTGGGTTACCATCTACCCCTGTATATGTCTAAACGTAGACCAAATGTGTACTGTTGGAACAAATCTATATTGTGTGCATAACCTAAACTAAAGTAGATTGCGTTCCTTGGTCTCTGTCACTTTCCTTCCTCTTCTCTCCATTCAATCCCCTTTTTCCTTTTCTCTTTTTTTTTTTACCTGGTGCGGAGCAGCAGATCCTAGAAGTAAGTACAGCTGCTATCCTGGAGTGCATGGGTTAACCTGTCATGGGTAGCTTTTCGTTATCGTCTGCATGCCGTATTGCTGAGTGTACCCTGCTGTTCGTTCTGGGCAGATTGTTTAAGATGGTTAGGGCGAAAGGCAAACCAACATTAAGGCTGAATGAAGATGTAGGAGTAGTAACAAGTTAGCAAAAACTATAAACAAAATGCATGATACGCAGTATAAAATATTACCATTGCAGATTAATTTTCTTTCTGAAAACACATGGTTCATGTTTCTGGCTAGTAAGTGCTTTCAAAGCAAAGTTCTATAATGTATAAAGGTCATGGCAATACAGATTACAAGTTTGAATCACTACATTATTAGGACTACGTCAAAGAAATAAACACAGTGGGGAGAATTTATCAAAGCAATTGCGAGTGTTTGAACTCGCATATGGTTGCATTGGATATATTTGCGCCAGATTTATGTTGCTAGTGTAATGTTGTTCATAAATGAGATTATATAGACTCCAGGAAAGAAGACTTGTAACACCAGGCAATAAGCCTCTTGAAGAAGTGGTTCTGGAGACTTCTTAAGTTGCGATTGTTTTATTAGGTGATGCTCCAGTTTCAGACAGCTGCAGAACAAGCGCAGATGTAAACAGTTGCAAACTTCCGCAAAACACAAATAGTGCAAGCTCTGCTCAAAAAAGACGCACATGTTAAAAGGAGCGCATAAACAGATTTGCACATTAAACAAAGATCTAAGAGGCTCAGGGCTTGTTCACACCAAGCGCGTTCCAGGAGCAGAGCAGTTACAGACCGGATCAAAACTGCGTCCAATGTATTCCAATGGTATTTTGGGCTCTAGTTCACACCGCAGTGCTGTTTCAGAGCATGTAAAAAAACTGCAACAAGCCCTATTTTACCTGCTCTGGAACGCATGCAAACACCCTGGAACGCACTGAAAGCCCATTTTAAACTAAAAAAAATTAAAAAAAAATTTTCAACAAAAACATCCCGGAATGCATCAAAAATGCGGCAAGAAGTGCGGTATAACACACTGCACTGTGTGTGCAGAAACTCATGCAGATCTGGTCTGCATTTTGTGTGAACAAGCCCTAAAACTGTTGCAATTGCTTTGATAAATTCCCCCCAATGTATATAAAGGATCCGTAAGCCTAAAGTACATGATAACTTGAATTAAAACAGATGCCATTTACAATCCTTTCCATATCAGTATAAATTTGATGTTTGCCACAACATTCTTATTTCCTATATTGTTTTTTTAGACCCCATTGTTCAGTGTTAAATTGCAGTTTTATTAAATTGAAAAAGGAAAACTCTGCCTCTTATAACTCATAACAACAACCAGTCAGATTTAAACCTACTCAGGGAATTGCACATTGGGGAGGGAAAGTTTGAATCCGATTGGTTGCTTTGTCTGAGATAGTTTTTTCCCTTTAAACAGTTTGAAATTAACTTCAATTGCGATATATTTATAAACGGTCTAAACATATGAACATGCTGGGGTATAGTTGTTGTGGGTTACCAGCCTTTCATTATTGAAAATCATTTTTTAGAAAATGATTTTGATGGCTTAGGTAAGAATAAAAAAAATGTTTTCTCTGTTCTGCGTATATCCAATATTATAGAGATACACCATAGTAGCCAGAGGTATCCCCTGCACTCCTTACAGCAATCAAGACCTACTATGCTTGCATTAGCAGTGGTGCTCATAGTGATGTCCACGGATGGTGCCCTGCATATCCAAGGTTAACAGCAATGAGGATCACCAGCACTCAAAGGATGAACTCAAAACCTTGTGGGTTTTTTTTATTGAAGAATCCTGTCCCATACATTACATAACCAATGTTTCGGAACCACGCAGGGTCCCTTCATCATAGTGACAACAGTTGAACCATAAACCCACATATATATACCTGTGCCGCCCCAATGGGGCATAGAATATGTTATAGAAGTTTTACATGGTTAGTTCCCTATACCATTTTCTCCTAGCTAAACCCATGTGTCATCCTATGCTGCCATCTAGTGGCCTTTTGTTGTAACAAACATGTTTTCTGTAATTATTCCTCATGTGACGATGTATTTCCCCCTAGTGTACGCCCCTTCCTTCTTCCTGTGTGCAGTACTTCCTGTGTCATGGCCACAGTTGAAAGCCACATGTAACAAGGACACACAGGTAATCTGCACAGTACGGAGGAAAGGCATCATTTTCTGACCGCACAATACTATAACCGTTCAACTGCTGTTCCTATCATCTGCTGTAACCTGATGTTAAAGAATAAACACCTCGGGGCGTGGCCAGGATGTGAGGCTGAACGGACGGCCATTGCAGCAGCTCCGATCATCCGTCTAGCCATCCTGCTT